CGGGGGTGGGGAGGGGGCGCGGACACCGCGCTCAGGACAGGCTGCTCCCGGCCCCGGCGTTGGGAGGGAAAGCGGCCGGGTAGCGCTCGCCGCTCTGGGCAGAGGCGAACAACAAAGGATATTAATGTTGACGGATGAATACGGGAGGCTCCCTTCCTTTCCCTCCTCCCATTTCGGGCCGATCACAGTTCCCGTTTTTGTTGTTTGATTTCAGCTGGGTCGCCCCTTGACAGTTACTCCTTTTAGGGTTGCGACTGTTAAGAAGCCAGGCTCTCGGACAAGCCTGCGGCGGCCAAATGCAATTAGAACCTCTCAGATGATTTCGCAGGGAGAAAGCATTATGGATTTTACTAACAACCTTTATTTATTATTATATGGTTCGTCCCGCCGATGGAGGTACTTTAAAAAAAAAATGGGTGCAGATCTAGTGATTTAGACGATGTGTACGCATTTGCTTATGTTCTAAATTCATTTGCCGGTAATGTGACAAATCTGGAGAGCCTTTCCAGGGAGTCATAGTCACGGGCGTTTTTGTTTTGTTTTTTTCAACTTCGCCTGGGTATAGGACTTTGGAGACCCCCGAGAGGACTGTGTGATTAAACAGTCGTTCCTACGTTTTACATTAGCTTCCATTCTGAACCGACCGATTAGCGACACAGTAGTTGGCCCTGGCCCCACCTTTGGGAAGGAGTTCCAGCTTTCAGAGTGGAAGGGGGAACCTTTGCCGGTTACTCCGCTGGCAGGGAGTGGGTGGTGGTGGCGATTTTCCCTCTCCTCACTCATACCTTCTTGGCGTGTAGATTAACTCTTGCTAGGAGACATTGCCTTTGCTGAACTGGTGAGGAACCGACTGTCCCCTTGTCACCAGATTGAACACTCAGTATGGGAAGCAGCCCCCCTGCCCGGGCCCCACTGCCCCTCTTGGAGCCGAGCCCAGATGTTGCTTTCTTCCAAGTGGTAAATTATAAGATAGATTATGGACGAGATTTATTTTCTTGGTTTCTTTCCATGCCAGGTCTCAGCTGGGAAGCTGGTATTGATTAGCTCGTCCCTGGCCTTTCTTTACAAGCTGTGGGCAGCGGCTTAGCACACACTCTGGGATTTCCTGGAATGGCAAACCGGATATTATCAGTCAAGTGTTTGGGGCTGCAGCAGACACCTCGCTTTCGGGTGGTTGGGACTTGGTTGCAGAGAAGGAGGAGGTGGAATGCTGAGTGCACAGGTGGGAAAAGGAGGTTGAGTGAGGTGAGAGGTGACAGCAGAGGTGTCTGCTGTGCTTGCTTATATGGTACGACACATAACGGAATGTTAACTCTCATTATCAAGTTTTGAGCATTTGGCTTATGGACTGTTGAGCCGTTTTTTGGAATCCATCTGTTTGGCGTGCGTGTGTGTGTGTGCGGTGAAAATTTTGCTGGGATACTTATGTGTGGACTTTCTCACCGTGGTGAACACTTTGTAGCTGCCCATGCTGCAACTTATTTATTTAAAATTTATTTTCATGGTGACATAGGTTAACGAAATCCAATAAGTTTCAGCTGTACATTCTAACAGTAAGGCATATGTATATTTACACTGTGTTCTCTGCCCATAGTTAGATTTCTTCCTGTCACCACATATTTGGCCTCCTTTACCCCATTTACCTCCCCCCAGGTAACCACTGGTGTGTAGTCCATGTCCATGAGTCTCTGTTTGCAACTTATTATTTTTTTTTAACTTTGGTTAGTGTATGTGCTTTTGTCATCTAGTTTTTATATAAACACTACAGAAAATATATTTTATGGACACAAATGTGTGGCTGATAGCAGGTGTAGTAATAATTCTGTTTCCTCATTCTTTGAAATAAATCAGTCTTTGTAACTTGGAATATCTGAAGTTTCAGTGCATATTGTCTATTTCTACAATGATACTTATGTACCACCAGTTATGTATAGTTATGTATCTTTACATATTTTATGTTTCAATTTCAAGCAACATACTATAAACATAGATAAAATTACTTATATTTTGTCAGAAATAGAAAGTCCTTTTCAAACCTGTCTCTTCCACTTAATTGATGGATGGTCTTAATGTAAACAGTCACATAGCTAAGGGTCCAGTCCTCGGGAATTAGAAAGGTACAGTGATAAAGCTATAGTCCCAAGGGAGAGGAAACCTTATCTCTTTAAAAGATGTTAGTAGGCACAATGATAGGCATATTTTATCTTTGGAGGTTCACGTTAGCCCTCGGTCCTATTCTAGACACTACTGCCAGCTGTGGGACTTTAGGTAAAGTCAGTTCACCTTTCTCGGTCCTAGCCTCTGAGTCAAATGATATCCGCGATCCTTCCCAGTCCTAATCTCAAGCACATGTGTCTTTTGGTTAGAAAAACATCCCCATTGTATAGAGATTGTTATATGAGAAAGACCCTTTTGCTGTGACACGTCCCACCTGGTTTTTAACTGAGAATGGAGGTAAGCAAAAGCTACCTGGCAAGATGCCAAAGCCGAGGTGCTGGTTGCTCATTTTTTCAATCTGTTTGGTTCTCTCTCCAGTAGGAACTCCACGGGCAGTGACTAAAGCGTTCTTGATCGCCCCCTCGCAAATTCCTGCACGATCACTATCTGCCTCCTGCATGCCCGCATCTGTCATACCCCTCTCCCTGCCCTCAAAGCAGTGGCAATTAGTCACAGAGAAATTAGGACCATGGCAGATTATGTCTGCATTCATTTTTCATCAGGCATTTATGTACAGCGTCCCCAGGTGAGCCAGAGAATCTCACTGACCTGCAGATTGCACCTCTCAACCCCGGCCAGGTGTTTTACGTGCTTGAGCCTCGTTAAGCTTACAGGGAGAACATGGGCTGGGCTGATCAGTGCAAAAAAACCACTGTGAGCCTTACAAGAAATAGCACTTACAACAAGCTGATCTGAGGTCACGAGTGTCATTTTGAAGACGAAGTACTGTAGTCCTAGTATCAACGAGTCCTCGGAAATATTCCTGTCCTCCCGGTAGGAATCTCGTTTTTCTAAAGCCCTTCTTTTTTAGGGGAAGAGGTGTCTGTACAGAGCCTTTAGAATGCCTTTTCCTTCAGGGGGTACTTTAATGGTGGTGTGCGAGGGAGAGTTATGAGGGAGTGCATCTTTCTCTTAGCCGCTTTCACGTTCTTAGCGAGCATTGTCTTAAAGTGTTTCCTATTTGCGATACCGTGATGTGGCCATATAACGTGTATAGCTAAATGATGAAGTGCTGCCTGGGGTCGTTTGTGGGGTTTAGAGCCAGACACAGGATTCTAAACTTTAAGTGAGAAGAGAAGGAGTGATTTATATCCCCAAGTGAAGTGCCACTGCAGGGCCGTGCAGACGGCAGGCTGGCAGCTGATGCTCGCGTGGGCCTCCTGTGGGGACGGCCTGTAAACAGGTTCCCCTCTTCTGGTCATTCTCCTAAGTGCTGATTTTTTTCACGAGGTCCCGGCAGTAACGCAGAAATGCTGCCTTTGCTTTCTAGCCTTGGTCCCCCCCACCCCGCCTCCTTCACGCCCCCCCAGAGGCTGTGTGGTAGGTACTACAAAGGAGATTACAAAAATTTCGAGAAACTTTAGCTTCTGTATCTAGCTCTCTTTAGGAGACTACAGTTTCAGACTTATCTTTGATGCAGTATGGCCAAGTTGCTGTCATAGGGACTGTGTGCCATGAGCATATATGGCAGAAAAACAAACTCTAAGGAAACTCAACCAAACTGCTGTAACTGTAAAGTAACAATACAGTGTTTTATAGCTGAAAAAATGTGAAATTGTTTTGAGTCTAC